AAACTAAGTCCAGCAACATTCCCAAACACTGTTACAGTGCTGAGTGACAAACCAGGAACAGAATGAGAGCGTCAGTTGCTCAAGATCCACCCACTGACTAGGACAAGTACTTGTTCATTATTCATCCAGTTAAAAAATGGTGTAAAAACATGTAAGGGATTATGATATATTTTACCACTTTATTTGAAAATATGTGTTAAAATAGCAGTATTTACTGAGAATCTAGGCTGGACATCAGGGTTATGGCTAAGAACCTATGGAAAAGGTACTAACCACTTCAGAGCAATTTTTTTTTACTATTTTTAAAAGCAGATGATCACATCTACAAATTAAAAACCAAAGTTTTCTTAAAATCAGTATGTTATAATTTAAATTTTGTAAAAAATGGGACTATAGTGGATTTCTTCAAGGAGGTTTTGTTTCTAGCCTGGAAACGGAAATAAAATCACAGATATCTCCCATTTTAACAGTAGGCAAATGGGGAGTTCATTTACTTTAATAATTGGTTCATTAAGGCTAATGACGAAGAATAGAGACGCTATGGAGAAACCCTTGTTATTCTTTGAGTCTGTCCTCCACATTTTCACCATTAAGAGTGTTTCGGACAATTATCACATAGCTCAAGCACTAGGCTTAGCACCTCTAGAGTAAGAGCACTGACTGTGAATTCCAGTACAATCCTTTCACTTTGAACCTCAGTTTGACACTTCGCCAACTGCTCTCTGTGCGCAGGATCACCACATCTCTCCTGCTTGTTCTAGTTTTGAAATAATAAATTATTCTGAAGCAGAGTAGACAACACATCAAAACCAAGCGTGTCCAAGTTCAGGTACGCCCAGTGGGTGGAGGACAGGCAGATAAGAGTCCGGAGAATAGAATCTTTCAGCCAGAGGGCTAATCTGCTGAAAGTAATAAAATGGGCATCTGTAGAAGCAGATTAATACCCACACTTGTTTTTTAAACATGCAATTTGCACCACTGTGAAACAAAAAACTAAAAGAATGAGTATAACAGCTATTGTTTCAACCTTGGCAGCAGTAACAGTAATGAAAACATCTTAGCAATGTCTAGTCCAATGAAACTCTCGGTTTTCTGTATTTTGTGTGGGCAACCAAATAAACCAAAAATAGGGTACAAAGAGAAGATGCACAACTTCAGCCTAAACATACTGTGTATGTCTATTGTAGTTCACTGGTAAAACTGAGGTATTACTAAAAACTGAAAATGATTTTAAGAAACCCCAAGAAATTTTGTAGTTTATTACTTGTAGCAAATCAAAGTAAATACTCAAACTTACCACAAGCCTCCTTTCAGGCTGTAAAGCCAAGACACTGGCTGTGTTGCAGAACGAGAAATAGGCTAAGATGGCTATAAATTTTCAATGGCATGGCCAAACCAGGAATGTAGGTAGAAAGTCATGCTGACTCAATTCATTTGGGCAGAAATGACACCTTCTAGATTACAAAATCCATTTAGTGATGTAAGCTTAATTTTACAGCCAGCATCACAGGATCAGGCTTATCTGAGGGCAACAAAGCTCTCTGATGTTTACAAATGTCAAATAAGCAATTACAACTAAACTTTTGGTAAAATGCCTTATTATTATCAACTAGTTTTTCTTTTTTAAAATTTTATTTATTTATTTTTAGAGAGAGGAAGGGAAGGAGAAAGAGAGGGAGAGAGACATCAATGTGTGGTTGCCTCTTGCGCATCCCCTACTGGGGACGTGGCCTACAGCCCAGGCATGTGTCCTGACTGGGAATCGAACCAGCCACCCTTTGGTTCACAGGCCAGTGCTCAATCCACTAAGCTACACCAGCCAGGGCCAGTTTTTCTTATTAACATTGGTAAAAACAACAACAACAACAACAACAAGAGTATGAGTAAAATTTTCTTTTATGCTAAAGTTACGTGTAAAATTACCTAGAGGAATTGCTCTTTCATTACTTTGCCTGTTCCATAGAGAAATTATTCTAGAGATGTTTAAGTTTGTTTATTCTTTTCTCTCCCTTTATGTACTTCTCTTAACACAAAATCATCTGGGTGCTTCCTGCTGTAAATGTAGGAGTAATAGGCAGTCTGCAGGCTCAGCTTAATCAATTTTTCTAATTCTTCAAATTTGACTCAGGTTTGGTTTAAGCTTAATTTCACAACTGTAGCCAATATTTCACTTATACACACGAAAAATTTAATTCTTTGAATAGTTACTCAGTATACCCATTATGAAAATGTAAAACAACTATTTAGAAACCACCTAAAACAGTGTGGGATGTATTTCGTATTGTACTTTTTGTTTGTCAACTAACCTTATGGTCTACTCTTACTAATGGTGGTATTATCGGCTATGAAGGAAATCAGAATGACAGCCCACAATATTCTATGTAATACATGAAAGAAATTACACATCAAAATTGACCTGTTCCTTAAGCACATTGCACGTAGACGCCTTGCATGTCAGTGCTAAACTTCACTTTTCATGTGATAACACTGCCCCCACTTCTTCCCATGGGAACATGCAAAGTTTAAGGCCTTGAGTCCCCAATACATTAATGGTCTATTACGGAACTAACTTATAACACTTATGAAGTCAATATGCTTTATCTAATTTATGAAAGTGTAAATGTTGTCTAGGATAGCGCTGTCCAATAGAAATTTCTCGGTTGCAAATGTTCTGTATCCATAGTACCCAACAGGTAGCCACTAGCCACGTAAAGCTAATGAGTTCTTCAAATGTGGCTAAGAGGGAACTGAATTTTTTAATTGCATTTAATTTTAATTAATTTAAAGTTAAATACTCCCATACATTGGATTACTACTGGCCTAGTGGAGCCTTCAAACATTCAGGTAAGTGTAGAAGCAGAATATGGGCAATCAGGAATGTTGAATTGTCAGCGATGTATTTTTAAATTCGGTTAGTGATTCCCTCAGTACGACTTTTTCTAGAAGGTTCGAATTTTTTAAAGAATGAGATACAAACCAATCAAATTCTTCAGGCTGCTTTTCTGTATGACTCATCTTTTTTTTTTTTTTAAGAGGTGTAAGACTGATTTTGTTGTCAGCTCTGCCTCCTCTTCTACAGATAAAGTTCAGCGATTAGGTTCCTGCATTTTTTTAGGTTATTGTGGAAAACATGGTTTCCATACTGCAAATAAGTGACAGGAACTTTTCCATTAAATTAACCCAGACAGCACAAATGTTCTTTTCCAAAAGCAGAGACTGGAACCACGGGCTCCTCCCGTTGCCTGTTACATCTGTTTATGCTTACAGAAGTGACATCTACTTCGCAGGCAGAGAATGCCAATTTCTTGGGAAAGCACCCAGAATTCGGTGAGACTTGAAGAAAAATTTCACTGTTCAAAATAAAGGACACATAGATTAGCTACAAAGCCCTTTTGAAATCAAGGGAGAAAAGATTTTGCTCCCAGAGGGTGGATTCTGCATTCAGACTTGCCCGAATTCCTAAACAGCCATAATCACTTGCTGCTGATAAAGCCCGTGGGTAAGTTACAAAACCTAAGCCTCAGTTTTCCTATCTGTAAAATACGCATAATAACAGTTCTGTTGGAAAAACTTGCATAAGACTTTGAAATGGGCAAAAGATTCCTGAGTGTCCTTTCAATGGAATGTTGGATGTTATCTACAGGAATGTGGAGTTTTCTAGTTTTACAGGGTCCTGAACCTTTGACTGCCTTTATTTTACTAATCTTTAAGGTTTAGAAATTCACGGTAATGTAAAATGGTTCTTATATAGAGATAAAGGGAATGATTTTGTTTGTAAGAGACACAGTTGAATACTGCTTGTGGAACAGATAATTTGAAAGATTGTATTTTAGTACGTTGTACAATATTAACCAGTTTTGCTTCTTTTCTGATTGTCTATAAAGGTCTATTCCTCACAGTCTCATACCACTGTGTTGCAGTATCTTGCTGGTTCCCTCCTTAATTAATGAATCAAATAATATTTTTGATACATCTTCATTTAGGTTTCTATAAGTCATGTTTTACTTTCTTGAAAAACTGTCCCTTAAGAATTTCTATTCCATAGAGTTTGAAAAGATTGGTTCAAAGGCCTACAATGACTGTCGCGCTGTTTCATGGTTTGCAGTTAGGCTGTAACACCTCCAGTATTTTTTTGGCGGGGTAGGAAGGAGGGGATACTAAGCCTCTATTGATACAAGGGTGAAGGTCTGAAAAATAATGTCCTGGCTAGAATGTCATAAGACCTGGTCATCCCTTTCCTTTTAGCAGTTGAGGCTGAAGGTCAAGGTGGGTGGAGTGCAGTGGCCTAGGTGGAGGCCACGGGGGATCTGGGCCTCGGCCTAGCCAGGTGTGGGCCTTCCGGGCCAGCAGAAAGGCCTGGGGGTTTAGATGCCCTGGGGTCACAGAGTTAACTGCAGACTTGGTGGGGTTCCAGCAGCGGGCAGCGCAAGACCCCAGTTCCCGCGGAACCAATACCCCAGCAGAAAGGCGGGCAGGCCCGGCCAGCGCAGGCCGTGCTCCAGGCCCGCGAGGCCCCTCGCCCACCGCCGAAGGGGTGGGGCGGCCTCGCCCCGGGCCGGTGCTTTTCGCCCTCGGTTGGCCGCCAGAGGCTCCCTCTCTCTCTCTCTTTCTCTCTCTCCCTCTCCTGGGATTTTGCTGCCGGGCTCTCTCTCTCTCTCTGCGGCCCTAGAGTTAATCCCATCAGCCGAGGTGAGGCACCTGTTACCCCAGGCCTTCCTCACCCCCGCGGCCTCTCCCGCATTACACCCCGACTCCCTGGCAGGTCAAACGGCCAGCGCGGGTGACCGCACGTGGGCGAAGCCCCTTCCCCGGCCGGGACGTCCTGGCCCCAGGCCGGCCCGAGTGTGCGAGCGCGCCGGGCCGGCCCGCCGCCCGCCATGGCGTTGGGGAGCGCCGCGCGCCTCCTGGGGTCGCCCGCCGCGGGCTGGGCACGCGTGGGAGCCCGGGCGCGAGTGGAGGCGGCCGCCGCAGCCGCCCTCGGCGCTGCGCCGTGAGGAGTGGGTGGAGGGCACCGAGCGGGCGGCGCGGAGCCGAGCAGCGGCCACCGGGGGGCGGGGGCGCCTCGGAGGAGGGGTGGGAGCGCGGCCGCCCGACCCTCCCGCAGGCGGCGGCTCCCGCTCGGGTAAGGGGGAGGCTGCTCGCGGGGCGAGTTGGGGAGGGTGGAGACGTAGAGGGAAAACCTCGGCTGGTACAAAGGCTGAGTTGCAGGCTGGGGGTGGGGGTGGGCTGTGGTTGGGAGCGATAGGTTGAAGATCGGAGGCATATCAGTAGGATCTATTGTTTCCTGGCACATTGGGAGGAAAAACAAAGGGATTTATGATTATTACCCTGTAATTTTTTTATTTTTCCTTTTATTTAAATGTGGCTAGGGAGCTCGGCTCTCCCCGTGCCACACTGGGATCCGCCTGGCAGCCGCCTGGAGCCGCAGCCAATGTGTTAGGGGACTTCAGGTGCTTCTTGGCACAAAGCTAGACTGCGACCTCCTACCATAGCGCTTGGCGTCACCTGCTCTCCCGGCCCTGCCCCGGGGCCGAGGATCTGGCTTGGGAATCGGCCGCCTCTCAAGTTGGTGTTATTTATGTTTGTCTTTTGTGAGGGCAGGTTTTGAATCCCCCGGCGGCCCCGTCTCCCCCGCTCCCGCCCCCTTGGGCTCGGAAAGGCGGGGGAGGGAGTAGGGAGGGGGAGGGGAAGGGGAGCATGTGTTAGGCTGATGCAAATGTCAGGGCAGGTAGAAGGAGATCATCGATGCCTTACCGAAAACCAGGCACCACACTCTAAAGCTTTTCTTGTTTGTCTGCATGGGCCATGCATGCAAGCTGGGCCAGGAGCCCGAGTTTGGAGACGATTTAAGTGAAAGTGTGTGCTTCCTCAGCTGATGGTGCATGGGGCTGATGTGGCTCGGCTAATATTAAAAACCAAAACCAAAACAAAATGAAAAATTTTTAGAACTACATTGTCTGCACCTCAGAAGATCCTGAAATATTTATTGCTGGCCTATTGATATAAAATCCAGCTGTGGGCTCCAGGAAACCAGCGAGCCTGCGTTGGGTTGCATTTTGAGTTTTTAGTTAAGTTGGAGGCAAGTAGGAAGAAACAAATCAGGGCTACGAAAAAGAGGTTTCATGGTACATTTGCTTTCTGTTCGTCACATTCTCATGCTTTTATTCCCATGACATTCCACATCCCTCTCTGTAATTAATAAGTTCCACTCTTAGAAAACTTCCAAATATTTGCTAGAAGTGGACTTAGAGTGAAACTTACTGCCATTTAAGAACTTCATTCTGCTTGTTTTGGTTTGAAATTGCACTAGTGTCGCTTTGGGGATGCTGTAAATGAGAACACTGGACCACAAAGAGGGAAATAAGCCTCTATAGGCATGTTTTCAAGTTTGTAAACGTAGATTCCAAACTTTTAATTGCACTTACACAGAAGGAGTAAGTTCCATCTGACGTGGAGAGTTTGAATGAAGTTCATTTTTCTGGGCAGTCTGATGATTTCTTAAAGATGCATGAACTGCTGATTTCTTTTAAGGTGATTCACAAAAGCAACCGAAACTTGGGCTAAAGTATTGCTTTTAAGTGTACTTGTGTGTAACTTGTATGTGCGTATGTGTGTGATTTTGGTAGAGCTCTCCGAATTGTGTTTGAAACATTTTGCTACCAAACACCAATCAGAGTAATAACTTTTAAAGTCTTGGCGTTTCAATTCCAGTTTCAATTAATAATGTCCTCTGTTTGAAGCTACTTTTTAGGGAAAAGTGTATGTTAGTTGAGTAAAAATAAATTAAAAAGTAAATGAATTCAGAAATTCATTCTTTTCTATTACAGATGAACCTCTAGTCTTGCTTTGAAAAAAAAAAGCCATTTTGTGTAACTCTTGACTGAATAATTTCCTAACACACCTGTTGCAAGGATTACTGACACAGTATGCCATTTGAGAGGTACTTTTTCTTGATCAAATACTGGTGATTAGAGAAGAGAGGTGTTTTTGTCTCTTGTTTTTTCCCCCGATCATTATGAACATTGGCTTTTCACCCTGAAGTAAAAATGTTGAAAACCGAGTCTTCAGGCGAACGAAGCACTCTCAGAAGTGCCTCTCCTCACAGGAATGCGTATAGAACTGAGTTCCAGGCACTGAAAAGCACCTTTGACAAACCCAAGTCAGATGGGGAACAAAAAACAAAAGAAGGTGAGGGCTCCCAGCAGAGCAGGGGGAGGAAATATGGCTCCAATGTCAACAGAATTAAAAATCTATTTATGCAGATGGGTATGGAACCCAGTGAGAATGCTGCAGTCATTGCCAAAACAAGGGGCAAAGGTGGACCTTCATCTCCTCAGAGAAGAATGAAGCCCAAAGAATTTCTGGAGAAAACGGATGGCTCAGTTGTTAAGTTGGAGTCCTCTGTTTCCGAACGAATTAGTAGATTTGACACAATGCACGATGGCCCTTCATATTCTAAATTCACAGAAACTCGGAAGTTGTTTGAGAGAAGTGTGCATGAATCTGGACAGAACCACCGTTATTCCCCAAAGAAAGAGAAAGCCGGAGGCAGTGACCCTCAGGACGAATGGGGTGGTTCGAAGTCCAACAGAGGCAGTACTGATTCCTTGGACAGCCTTAGCTCCCGGACAGAGGCTGTCTCCCCCACCGTGAGTCAACTGAGTGCAGTATTTGAGAACACCGATTCCCCCAGTTCCACCATTTCTGAGAAGGCTGAAAACAGTGAATACTCAGTGACTGGGCATTATCCCCTAAATTTACCAGCTGTGACTGTTACGAATCTTGACACCTTCGGTCACCTGAAGGATTCTAATTCTTGGTCTCCTCCAAGCAAACACGGTGATGACTCAGAGGATGCCCGGAAGAGTAACACGTCCTTAGTAACAGAAGTGGCTTTGAAAAGTACCTCTCTAGCTTTGATGCCTAGTGAAGAGACACAGCAGAGCAGGGAAGCTGAGGACTCCACATTGAACCAAGAGACTCCTGACAGAGTTGACAGAGACATTCGTGAGGAACCTTGTGCTGAGGATCAGGCAATGCCAAAGTCTGACATCCTTTCACCACAAAATGAAGATGCCAAAGCTAATTTGGTTGGGAATGAGGCAGCAATGCCACATAAGAGAGAACTTGCAGGTGGTGATTTTATCTCTGCTGATGCTTCTGGACCCAGGTGTGGGAAGGAAGTGTCCGAAGATACAAGTAACGTTGAGGGTTCCCATGTTTACATGCACAGTGACTATAATGTATATAGGGTAAGGTCCAGGTGTAACTCGGACTGGGGAGAGACAGGCACCGAGCAGGATGAGCAGGATGATAGTGATGAGAACAATTACTATCAGCCTGACATGGAATACTCAGAAATCGTTGGATTGCCAGAAGAAGACGATATCCCAGCAAACAGGAGAATTAAGTTTAGTAGTGCTCCAATTAAGGTAAGTATGTTTTCTCAGTTTGTTTTCCAAGTTTTTTCTAAGCTTCCTTAGTAGTTGGGCCTAACTGTATGCAGAACAGATTTTGACAACTGTAAGGAGCTCAAGGTTGTTGATACACAGAATGTTGTCAGGTGATTTTAAAAATGTGGAGTTTGAGAGATATCCAGCCTATTTCCTAATGTGTTTTATAGTTGCATAAGCCAGTATTGAGTAACATTAAAATTGAAGAAGTTTTGGGAGTGTGAGATACTTTTCAATGGACCGGAGTGTGAATAATGTGAACACTGAAAATTAGGAGTGTTAGTTTGAAATAGAATTACTTCTATAACTAGTTTTACCTAAGTTTACCCAAAAGTAGTATTTTCTGAATCTAAACACTAGGATATCAAGTAGAGTGCACAATGGGAGAGTTATGGTAACTTTGATATAATACTCTATTTCCTTGCTTAAAAAATTCTGAATTATCACTTAAGTGTAAGTGGATTGTGAAGAATGTTGGAACTTTTTTTTTTTGTGCTGCTACTTGGTAGTGAAAGTTTGACTCATGGAAATAGATTAGCGGGCTTTAATTGGAAAGCTATGACTGTCAATAGCTTTGCGTTCCAAATTTGATAGGGAGATTTAAAATGAAATTTTGTGAAAGAAAGTTAAATTGATTTGCCATTCATGGATTTATTTTTACCTCTTAAAAACTGGATAAATGCCAACTGAATTCAGATGCTCTATTCTAACGACTTCACTTAGTTCACATTTGATACAGAGGAAGAGCACAGAGTGCCTCAGCAGCGGGCGGTGAGACGTTATTAGCCGGTAATGGCAACAGGGCAGGAGGTTGAGTGTCAGTCAGACTCTCCTGGAGTGCTCTTTCAAAGGGCACTTGCCCACCAGCCCCTTCCTAAGATTCTGGCGTGCCTCCTAAGGGGAGCTGGAGGGTTGCAGTGGCAGAATGTGTGGTTTGAAACCACTTTGTAAGGGGCTTTCAGCTTACACAGTGTATCTGTGATTTGGAATTTGGTATGGTATCTTTTAAAATTTCCTCCTGAAAATCTCTGATCACTGTCTATTGCCATTTCCATCTGATGAAACTCCCCTATAAGGCCGTAGTGTAGTTTACACAGCAAAGAGAAATCCGACCTTGCTTTAATCATGCAATGCTGTTTTGCAATAAAGTAATAATCTATGAAATTGTCTACAGGTGGTAGCCGGGAAACTCCTTTCATTAGTGTAAAGCAGAAGTTCTGGATCAGAAGGGGCCAAGTGAAGTTCCACTGTGTTTAAAATAGCTGGAGATGTGAGTCTAGTTTCTGATTAAACTAAGTTTCTTTGCAGTGCTTCGCCCCTTCCCTTTGTCATTCTGTCTCCTACCCCCCCCAATTCCAGGCACTCTCTTTAGGGAGCCTGTTTCAGACCTGTTCTGTGAGCTCCTGAGTTTCACAGTTAGGACCCTTTGGCAAGTACTCCCCTTTGGACATCATCTTTCTGCCCCTTAGGGAGAAAGCAGTAAGATTAAATTGCTTCACACTGAGCAAGGCAAGAGTAACCGAAATGAACTCTTCAAGGAGTTTGTTAAAACCAGTCACTGAGTCCCTAATGGGAATTAGCAGCTTATGAAAATTTATCAAGTAGAATGCTACCCACTCAGGCCATTTGGACATCGGCTTTGTATCTGGGTCTCGTGCTACCCAAAATATAACTGCACAGTAATAGGTTTAATGAATTTTCAAGGATTTATCATTGAAATATGGCTGTTCCTACATAAGGAAACCAGGTTTGGGGTATGATATTTTGAAATAAAAGTGATTTTTTTCTACTGTTGCTTATACCAGTAAGCATTTTGCCTTTTAGTTTTCATACCATAAAGATGCTGTGTATTTCATATAACAAAGAGTGAAATAAATTACATATATTTAAGTTTAACACATTTCATCAGAACATAGATCAAGTAATAGAACTGTGAAACAGAGATGATGCACTGTGTTTTAGTGGGCAGTTAACAGTACTAGCTGGAGTGGATTAATTTTGCAAACAGAAGATTCATTCTTTGCCCTTCATAATGAATAAGACTCTTTCTTGTTGTTCCCATTGTTTATAGCATGTAAGTGAATTCACTTGGAAATTTTGAGAGCTACTTTTCTACTGGGTGGTGGTGGTGATGGCAGTGTTTAGATTAATCTCCAGTGAAGATTTTTGCCTTAGAGAGTGGTAATACTTAATTAAATTCAGTAAGTATTTATTGAAGGCTTATCCTGTGTCTATTCTCATGCTGTTAGCTACAGGAGAACAAAAACTTACAAGGTTACCTTTTCCTCGGTGAGCTTGTAGAGTCAATTCTTAAACACGTATTTAAAACCCCTGCAACACTGTAAAAACTTGTGCCAAAGTGTCTAATGAATACCTGGGCTGTCTGGCTGTGCTAGGTACACGGGGTGAGCAGAATCCAGCCGATCATTTGGAAGAGAATACACTCAGATATGCCATATGTGTGTGTTTCAATTCTTTTTATAAAGCATTATTTATAGAATGGGAAGTTAACAATTTCAAATTGAAATCTTTTCCTTTGAAATTTCAACACACTTTTTCAGAAGCAATAGGAAGTATATTCTTTACAGAAGTGATCTTTAGAACTTTTACATACTTTTCCTGATACTCTCATCTTGTTCTTCACTAGGGTAAAAATTCTCAACAACTCTAGCCTGCTGTTTTAGGTCTTGTTCATGATCTCCGTGCGTGTCCTCAGTTTCTATTTCAGTTCTTCTGTAGATGTTTTAAATAGACATTTCCCTTGATCTTAAATCTGAACTTCAATCGGGACTTAGAAAATCATACAAGTCATAGCTTATCTTCTCTGTGTAGCATATTCCTTATACATAATTGTTGGTGACTTGTAGAAATGGTTGGATTATTTCTTAATGGATAGGTTAATGTGTTTCCTAGTGTCCTGGAAAACTATAATGGGATTAATAATGGAAAATATAAAATCCAGCTTCGAGATACAGGGTGAAGGAGTATTGTGAACTGTGCTGATCGGAGATGTGGAATTATGCCTTCATTCTTAGGAATGTCTCAAAACCAAGGCATTGAATTAATTAAATTTGCCTAAGATGGATCAAGAATAGAAAAGCTGACATCTTTCTTTCTTTTTCCTGTTAATTCAGAACATTTACAGAGCCCTTGCTATATGTCAAGAACTATGCAAATGTCATAAATACATAAAATGACTGGAGCCAGGCAAATCAGAAGCGGCTGGTTGGTGGTAACCATACAGCCCTTCAGAGATGCTTCTAAGGCTGTTCTGCTCAATTCTGGTTTTGGGTGATCTTTCTAAGGCCACTGAAACTTTATAAAGGAAGTCACACCCCTTTCTCTGTTTCTGGTAGCCTTATGGCCTTTGAATTGGTGTTCTTGAAATACACTATATCTGGAAAAGGGCATTTTCCTAATTCCCAGCAAGAAGGAGATCACAGGGTTAATGTCGAGGTGCATTGTGCTGTACTTTTCTGAGTGTTTCCTTAAACTCTGGAGCTTTACAGAGCTGTGTTCCAAGGAGACTCGCCACGGGCAGCAGTGTTGCTCTGAACCCTACATGAGAAGTTGAAAATAGCCCTCAGCGTTTTTGCCTTCATTTGGGGTTCTGAGTTGTCAGGGGTTACACAAGACCTTTTATTCAGGATGGTGTTCAGAGCATAGTTCTGAGATCCCAATTTCTGTCTTTGAGGAGCTTTTCCTAACAGTCTTGCTTAGTGCTTCTTACATGAATATGCATGTGAATCACCTGAGGATTTTTCAAAAGTGTGAATCTGTGATTCAGTAGGTGTTTTGTGGGCAATTACCTAGATGCAGTGGTTAGCCTCCAAGTACACACTACCAGCTGTTCCAGAGGTTATGGCATAGATAGGCTCAGCAACTAAACTACAGTGGTTGAATCACACGGTTTAAAAACTCAGCTTAAAACCCACAGCTGGAAGCCAGAGGAAAGCTACGGAAGGTTCACGTACTTACAGGACTAACAGGTTCAGAAGGACCACGCTGCCTGAGCCCCGGTACACACTCATATGTCCTGATCCTCTTTCACATCAGCCTTCCCCATCCGTGGTGTGGTTATGAGAACTAAAGTTAATATTGGAGCAAGGATCCCCTCACCAGTGATACCCTGGGCTAGTGATACATGCTTGCTGTATCCAAGAGGGTGGGGACAGTGCACTTAGAGGCAGCTGTAGCTTTACCACTTTGCCTGCTGATGAGCCAGGGGTTTTATTTGCATTTCTTGGGTAGAGTACCTTCAAGTCCCAGATAGGACCATACTGAGTGTCCTCAGTTGGTGGCTGACATGGAGAAGACACAGCTGTCAGGAGATGACATGATTCTAACTTGATCTTTCCATCCCTTCCTACTTGCAGGTACACCTTTTGCTTGTTCCATCATCTCTTCTATTTTGGCATGTCTTACAGGTTACTAACTTATTTTTTAACACATGAATTTTGCCTTTCTCTTACAAGCTTTCATTATTTAAACTTAATCGAGCCTCAGAGTGTTGTCTCTTTTATAAGCTACTAGCTTATGAGATCATCAAATATTATCACTTCTTATGAGTGTCTCAATCTTTATAACAGAATTTAATATTCCCAGTCATTCTCAAACAATGCAGCATGCTCACAAAACAGTAGGTCTGAGATGAGATTTTGCACTTCTAACAAGCTCTCAAGTTGGTGCTGATGGTTCTGGTCAACACACTACTCTTTGGAATATGATTTTGAATTCTAGTCTCCTGGCTTCTGAAAGGGGCTTGTCCTAGTGTTGGGGGAGCTCATTTAACAAATGAGCTTTCCACATGGGTCTGCTGTACGTAGCTGGTTGTGTTGAATAATATTCTTTAAGATGAAACAGGTGTAAACTTGTAAAGTGCATGAAGCACTCTGTTTCTGGATGCCTAAGTAGGTAGTGATCCCTAAATTCATAAGGAATTTGGGTCATCAAAAATTTTAGATTCTTTGTGTGGCCTA